TGTTAGATCAATTTTCTTTAAAAAAATTATATATTAGAATAATAAAATATGATTATGATTTTACATTAAAATTATATTAAAAATTAGGACATTTTTTTTTTCAAAACATCAATTATATATGCTTTGAAGAAAACAGTTTGACAGATATGTGAAGAAACAAACTCGTGATAAATAATTGTATGAGACTATTGAGGTGATAAATAATTGTATGAGACTATTGAGGTTGAATTTTAGGAGATCTAGAATGTTTGTTTTCTGTATCTATATTTATCGAACTAAATATTTGTTACTAATTAAAAATATAAGTTACGTTATTATTAGTATATTATTAATTTTTTATTAAAAATAAGTCAAAGTAAATATTTTTAGGTAGTTCATTTATTAATTAAAAAAATAAATAAATTTTTCATTAAAAATATGTCAAAGTAATGATTTTTTTAGACAATTCATATTTTTAAAAAACCACTCATCATTTTATAATAATATAGATAGATAGATAGTTCAATAAAATATTTGAATGAATAAATATTAATATTATTTGTAAGTGAAGAATGAATATAAATATGGGCTGTAGGTTTGCCTAAATGAGTGGAATATGGGTGATTACTTAAAAGTTTTACTAGCAAACAAAATAATTGGAATTAATTGAAAAGAAGTTCACACAAAAGTGTGCATGCAATACACGATCACGAGCAGATTGTTGTTCTCGTGTCCCACATGACTCCCTGCACTGGTCTTATTCTGACATTTTCATCACAAATCACTTTTCTTTCATCCACATCATCTTTTATTCATTTAAAAAATTTCATATATTCATCGCTACATTTAAATTACAATATACCGGGACAGACCCACTGGGATGAGCTCTAACACGGTCTTAATTTTTTGACTTTGTTAATTTTATACTGGTAAAAAATATTTTAGCACATGTTACATTAGATTAGCAGCTCAGTATTAATTTTATTTTGGTCCAGAATAAGTTAAATTCATTTAAGATCAAATCAATGAATTAAATATTCAAACATGGTTTATGTTTCTGTCCACCTTTTCATTTTAAATTATTATATATACTCTCTTTATGTTATTTTATGTTTATTTTTTTAAATTGAATTAAATAGATTTTATTTGAATAAATTTATTCGAGACAATATTTGATTATGTTAGACATTCATTCGAATACATAATACCCAAATGAATTTATAGATTTCAAAATGAAACTTATATATTCACTGAAATTTTAATAAATGATAGTTGATTATATGAAATTTATTACTAAATCTCATTTATTTGTTTGACAATTTCACTGAAATGACATATGTACTTAAATACCATGAAATATAACAAGAATAACGAGACTATTACACTATTTTATAGTAGTTTTTTAAATATACTATTTTTTTTAACTAAAAGTTAAGTACATGTGAGAAAATTTGTATTTAATTTGTACAATTTAAAGGAAAAATAACACAACAATTAAAAATAAATATTTGTCATATGTATAAAAGAGTAATTGAAGATTTACAAGTTTATTGTTAAAGGAGAGCCATCTTCATATAAAACATGACTAGTTAGCAAATATATTAATTTTTATATTATAAATGCAACATTCACTTTTTAATAATATTTACTGTGTGATTCTTATAATTTATAATAAATATAAAAATTATTCTCATACTTAGACTTCTTTATACAATTGTCTAGCTAAATTTTCGAATCCAGTATTTCAATTTCGAACTCGTGCTTATGTAATAAAAAAGTTGTCGTGGTTCAACTCGTTTAATAAACGAATAAAAAATTGAGCTTGGGTTCGACTCGTATAAATTCAGTTCAAGTCATTTAATAAACCTTAAAACCTAGACCAGAACTCAAAATTCTAACTGAATTATTTGCGAACACGTTCGACTCGACTTGTTTAATAGACAAGCTCGATAAACCTCAACTTCATCGACCCTAACTACGTTGTAGTTGTTCGAGTTTAGATCATTTAAATAAACATGTAAGTCAACATAGAACTTTTAAAAGTCAAATTGAACTATGTTAGAAGAAAACACGATTCGAATAACATATATGTACATATTTTACAGCCCCATGTGAAAAAATTTCTGGCTACGCCCCTGTATATATAGACAACAAAAACAAGAGGGGGTCCCTTTGAGATTACATCTCCCGCTACCAATGAGTGTGGAGGTACCCTCAGCCTCAGAGGAGATAAGGCATTAGGTCTCACTCAATTGTATAAGAAGAGCTTGTTTCAGCTCGACAGTGGCCTTAGGTCGCTTAGAATTTTTGCTCGTGAAGGTCGAGCCTGATCGGACAGAAGCTAGTAGGGAGTCTGCACGAAGATCACATGATCAATCAAATAGTAAACAAGAGAATAATAAAGAAGAAAAAAAATAAGGATCTCCGAAGTCAAGGACTACCTAAGTCAGAGATTGGTTTGCAATATTATCCGTGTAAGCCTTATTTGGTTTAGGGGACTTTAGTTGGTTAGGCTCTTCGAGATTCCATTCATTTAAAAAGACAAATGTGTTTGGAGGAGGTCTGACGAAAAAATATATCGACTTTTAGTTTGAAACATTATAAACATGATCAACTAGAAAGTGAGCATTGTTCCAACAAATGAGATAAAAGGACACGATGCGGCTTAATCTGTAAGCAATAAAAGTTCAAGTTTAGGTTATGGAGAAAGAAAAAATTGAGAACGCAGAAGCCGCCCATAAACCAGATGGAGTTAGGGTAAAATGTTTTAGAGGTATCTTGTAGATCTGGGCCAACTCTACAAGGTCACTCTTCAAAGGGAAAGTAAGTCCAGCTTATGCCTAGTCCACAAAGAAAGTGTATAACCCCTTGGGGGCTGGGAAAAGAATTCTCCGGCCTAAGAGACTTGGAGTTCACAAGAACATGGAAGCTCGCACTCATGTTTGAGGTATTCTAGCTCCATGTCAGACAACGAGGACGGGGTGTTAGGCCTGACAACATAGAGTAGGTCAAAGGTAACCGTAGCCTGGGCTCCCTCAGCATTAGTTGAAGACGTTGTCTGGAGGAAAGGGGTTTAGTTAAGGTTTGAAAAATTATCGACTATGGCGTTTAGTCAAGCCTGGGAAGAGGAGTTAGAAGAACCAATTTCTTAGGACGTCGACATATGATTAAGAAGTGTTTTTCGTAAAGAGTAAAAGGATACAAAGGATCCGAGCAAAGAGATATCTGGAAGAAGGCCGAGAAGAATAAAAAAGTATAGATAAAAGGTAGAAAAATAAGAAGTTTAGAACATACCCATGAATCGATCTTGGTAAATGGCGTAAAGCGGTGAACTTACAGGATTGCAAACAAAGGATTATTCTCGTAGAAGCTCTGAGGTGTGCGAAAATGGTAAAAGGGATGAAATAAAGAGTAGGGGGTTTTTATAAGCAAAGAGGAAAGAATAATTGGATGAATCCGATGTTGGGAGGCACGTAAATTAAGGGCCAAAATTTTCAGGCCAGAATCCGATAAGAGATTCCCACGTGGACATAGGACAAGTCAAAGGCTTATATACAAATAGGTTAGGCGTTTTTGGCATCTCACATTCTCCCAGGCTGTCTAACAGTATAATTAATGCAAAAATAGGCCATGTTCAAAGGCACGACAATGTGCAATTTCAACACAAGTCTTGGAAACTCGTTCTGAAATAGGGGACTGCATGATGTATCACCTAAAATAGCTCGACGGGTCGGCCTGAGCGGCTAGCGGGACTAAGAAGAAGCTGACCCAGTCAAGAACATAGCTCAAGGTAGTGATCGACCAGATAAGATGACCTGGAGGCTACGACCTCTAGGAACTCAAGTATGGAGAGGGACCTCAAGGTATCGATGTCGCAAGTCTGGAAGTCGGGAGTCAACCTCAGTAAAGGTACAACTAGAAGGTCAAGAGGTCGTAGTTACGACCTAACGACCTAAGAGTTGTACGATAAAGGGAAAAATAATCTTAGTAGGATGGAAGTATAGATAGAGACATGGTAAGTTAGGCAAGACGATCTGTTGGATCTCTTATTTGACAAGGATTCTCTTGGACTTCAAGACGCTCACCCTATATAAGGGTAACAAGGTTCTATTTTAATATCTATCGAGTTAAATTCGATCAGTTTTGACATATC